ATACATTCCTGGCCATCAGAGTACTGTTTCTTTCATCTGTTCTTTTGTATTGTATATGAAGTGACATTAAGTATAATCAGATTTTTGTACAAATTTCCTTGGTACCTCTTAGTGGAAGCACTTGGATTGGCAGCCCAGATCCCTCAGCTGCGAGTGTGCTTATTAAGAGACTGTTGTATTCACTGGCTCTGTGTTAAGGAGACCTGGCCTGGGGTTGCTGTGGGTTGTTGCAGTCAGCCTTTGCCAGAGGAGGAGAAATTTCATTTCATAAGTATTGCTTTTCCAGGGAAAAGTTTTCCCTCCTCTCCTTGCAATAAGGAGCATATTATAGTGGAAGATAAAAGTTGGGAATCCTAGGAATTACTTTATGCAGGTGAAAGAAAAATGTGCAGAATAATTACCAATGTGGAGCATTTGCTGTTAGGTTTAATATATATTTTTTAATTTGAGGGTTTACTAACTTTTACTGTGAAAAGTTAGACTGAATTTTTTTTTTTTTTTTGGTGTTAAAAATACTACCCTGTTATTTGTATAACAGATTAGTTTGCCAAAAAAAGAGAGGAAAAACTACTAATAACAAAAGGGATTACTCTTTATAAATATTACTGTTAAAGAATGTCATTTAATCCACTGCTCTAATAAATTATTTTAAAATGTATTTTATTGCTATAATTTATTAAACAATAAGGAGACATTTTGGCTGCAAATAGTGATAACATCTCTGTAGAACTGTATTTGGATAGTAATTTTTTTTCATGACACAGTAGATAATTAGGAATTATAAATTATGCTTACACTCTTAGGCACGTTAGCTGAGAATGTATCAGACTATGTTGTTTTTGGTGCCAAATCAGGTCTCGATTTTCAAAAATTCTAGCACTAAAACTCATGATGAGTTTCTTTTTCTAGCAGCAAAGTAGAAGTGTATGACTTACCTGAGAGATTTAGGTAAAAACCTTGCCACCAGTTTACATTTTTGAATGAAGTTACTCTGTGTTTGTAGGTGAAAAAATCATTATCATCAGCCACTTTAATGGCATCTTAACCTTGTTCCTAGTGGCCAGATAATCTCATTTCGAATGTTTGCTGCAAAAACAGTGATTTAAATTTTTAGCAAGGTCACTGGATAGCTAAAATGAATTGCTCCTGTCCATGAGATTTTGTTCTTCCATAGGAAACTTGAAATAGGATGGCAGGCCAGCATAACAGCTTTCAGAGATGTGGGTGAACTAGTGTGCAATATGTAGTCAATAGGATATGATAACGTAGAGATCCCAATCTGTCCTGAGAGGCAGCTTCATAAATGCTTGGATCTCTTCACTTCCAGTGCCTCACAAGTGTGGGCAAGGTCTTTTTCCACCTCTGTCTTCCAGGGACTTAATGGGTGCTGGATCCTAGGCCATGCAGGAGTAGAGGACATGGATTCCCTCAGGTGCTCTGTCACAACCTGCATCTTTATTTTGTACTCTGAAAAATAATAATAAAGTCTTCAGGCTTCTCTGTCTTCCCTCTGAAAAGAAGTAATTAATGAACAAGAATTAAAGCAACTGACATATCATCTGGTAGAACAGACCAGCTATGCCAACCTCTCGTTAACCCGGATGCCTGGTTAAATGCCACTTATATTTGAGGTTATTGCTGTTGAGATTATCCATTATAATAAACATGGATAATCTGCTGCCACATCCAGGAATGTGTCTGTGCAGACTGGTGCTGTGCCCACCCTGGGCAGGCTGTGTGAGCCAGCCCCAGTCTGGAAGCCATCAGCACATTGTGTGGCACCGTGCCTGAGCTAAAACACCTTGTCTTTCAGATAGCTGAGGCTTTGCAGCTTCTCAACAGAGGCTGGCTCACATTTGGGTGGCTCCAAGAGTGCTGGCAGTGTGTTTACTTTTGATGTGTTCCTCATTCCACGTGGCTGGGGAAGCACTTCCCCAGAAATCCCCACCCTCGTGTCACACACTCGTCTCCTCCCAGCTCCACTTAAATTAACTACAAAGATTTAAAAAATATGTTGGCAATAATTTTGGGGGGGGGGGGCAGTTAAAACATATATGTGTTGTGGGTTTGATTCAAATCTTGGAGTGTCTCAGTGGGCCACTTGTGGTGTCATTTGACAGCAGCTATTTCACATGACTATGAACCATCATTTCCTGGAAGTGCTTGATATGAGTCATTATTTCCTGGAATAAAGTGTTTGGTTACATATTTTCCCAAGATAGGAAAATCCCCATCAGCTGAGAAAATAAATGCTAGGGTCTGCAAAATTTTGTGGGTTTGGGGCTGCAGAATCCAGAGTGCAGATTTTTCAAAGCATGTTGCCTGGCTCTCCTCTCCCATGAAAGGTTTCACCTCATCTGTTAAAGTGGAGTGGAGAATGTTGCACAGCTGAGCAGTTAAGGTCACAAGAATGTGTCATCATTTTGGCTGGCAGTACAAACAATATGGATGTGACTGAATCCTATTATCAGATGTTGAAATGATACCCAATAATTCAATAGTTCTGACTCTTCTTCTTCACTAGTCAGGTTTACTGCCAATTTAGAGGCAGTGACATGATCTAAACTTCAGAGAAGTAAAATTTCAGTATAGCTTCATGTCCTTTTTCAACCTTTAATTTAATCCTTTTATTAAATTTTTGGCTTTTTACAGCTGTAATATGTGTTAAATAGCTATATATCATTAAAAACCTCATCGGTGACAAGTATTTACTGAGGAATTTGCTGTTAGAGAGCAGACCTTATATTCGGGCTGGTTGGCATGGAGTTAACCTGCACAATTTTAGAATGAACCTAAATATATTCTAAAACCTTTGAAATTCTGAGATGTAGGTTTCTTTAACACACTCACAATGAAAATAGGTAGGTTTGTGATAGTAGTATTGTTTATCTTCAGATATTATAACTGGAACATTGTTACACTTCTAACTTTTCTCTGTAATTTTATGACCGCGTGCTCTCAGAAAACTGCAGAGGAGTGAACCTTATTGAATTTGGAAGAACATATTCTATGCCTTTATGCAATATGCTGTTTCCTTTTCTTTGGCTTTGAAGTCACAGAATACCTTTATTTCTGCCAGAGAACTTGTGTTATCATGCCTGACATCTGTGGGGGAGATGAGGCCCTGGCACAGGGTGCCCAGCGCCGCTGTGGCTGCCCCTGGATCCCTGGCAGTGCCCAAGGCCAGGTTGGACACTGGGGCTGGGGGCACCTGGGACAGTGGCAGGTGTCCCTGCCATGGCAGGGGTGGCACTGGGTGGGCTTTAAGGTTCCTCCCAACCAAACCATTCCATGATTTTATGGTAAATTGCTTGCTTTCTGCAAGTTCAGCAGAAGTGAATAGAATAGCAAATCACATTTTTTTTTTTTTTCTGTTTTGGTGCATTAAAAATCTATTATTTTCATGAAAATGTTACGGAATAGGTACTTCAGCACAACATGAGAACAAACTGACGGTCTTTTACAAATTACTACACAGCAATTTTTATGCATTATTATGAGGTTTACAGAAAAACAATGTACCTATATTTCATTTCAAATTAGCATTATGGATATGTAACCCCTCTGATATATATTTTTTGTGCAATATTTGTTATTTAAAATAATTCATAACTATAATTTAAATTAAAACTGTTGGAGTCTTACAGCATTCTCTTTTAAGCATCATTTAACTGAGATTTGAATGAACAAGCCAGAACAATAAATGAGACTATTAAAGTGTATGAATAAGATGAAACTGTTTATCTAAAATTGATCCATGTCGCATAACTTCACCTAAAATAAATGGGTTGTTTTTCTTTGACTCCATCAGAAATATTGTCCTATAAATATTTATATTAATACATTAGGAACTTTGAAATAAAAGTGGAATAACTTTCTTGACATTTTTGCTGGCAAGCAAAAGACTGTGAGAATTCCAACCTTTTAGCTCACCTTGACTGTATGAAGTTCACGAGCTGTATTCTTACATTTATTAGCAGTTGGAGCCCAAGGTTAATTTATGATTCATTTATCCATGTTTATTTTTTAATGATTGATCTTATATAGTTCTGGGAAAAGGCGCAGGCCATAACATACTCTTTTCTAAAAGCTATTAGGTATTATGTGCTCTTTCTTGGCTGATAAGTCATAGTCTGTCACCAAATACATTGCAGAAGGTGAATATATTTCTTTTATTTATGAAATTAAAGGACAGATTATGGCCTTGCCAGAGCATGAGCATTTTAGGGTATAAGATACTGCAAGATCTGTGCTTTCAACTGCATGTTGTAAAAAATTGCATTTGTCTTATCTTCTCACAAAACTGTTTGTGATGTACCCCTGTGAGTGTCTGTGTTATCCCATATTTATTTCAGTGCTGTAAGATTCTGTTTGCTCACTGAAAGTGAGGGGTCAAGATTGCAAAGGAAATGATTTCTCATGAACAATCAGATCAAAAAACTTGTATTTTACTTTTAGAAATGTATTTTTGTGTTGACAGAAAAATATAATAAATCCATAGGAAAATATCTAAGTAAATATGAGGAAGATATCCAGAGATTCCTGCACTGAGAACCCTAGGGTACCAAGTTAAGAGGATAAAAATTGGTTTTATCTGTATCACTTTGCTTTCTGTTATTCTGTCTCTATGATCTGCATGAGTCAAAAGAGATTTGTGTAAGGTATTCTAGAATTCAGGAAAGTGAATTACAACAATAAATCAATTATTAAAAGCAAGAAATTTCACACAACTATTGTTAGGTATTGTATTGTAGTAAAATAGACTGAGATAAATGGTTGATGAAGCAAATAATGAAAAGTCTATAAAGAGAAATTTTTGGCTAATTATTTTATTTCATGATTTGGTTAGACCTGACAGTGTTTGCTATTTAAAGTGTTCAGAAGGTAGGTGATTGTTCTCCTAGTGATTGAAAAAAAACATCCTACATGGTGTGGTATAGTAGTATATATCCTGTTTTAATGAGAATGTAATAATCTTTATTTTTATTTTATTTTATCAGACAGGAAGCTTTGCTTGCTGCAATTAGTGAAAAAGATGCAAATATTGCCTTGCTTGAGCTGTCTGCTTCAAAGAAAAAGAAGACTCAAGATGAAGTAATGGCTCTTAAACGAGAGAAGGACAGATTAGTACATCAGTTAAAACAGCAGGTGAGGAGACTTTGCTTTTCATACTTTCATGGCAACAGAAAACTGGCACTATTTGCATTTGTACTGCTTTATGCTGATGTCCTTTTGGAAGTGTTCAAGCCAGGTCTGACCCGTGTCAGCAGTTGCACAAGGTAGGATGTGTTCCATTTAAGTGTTTATTGCTTCTCTGGAGTTGTTAAGTATTAGCTGCACATTTGCTTGGCTCATATCATATATAGCCAATATATTTTGTTCTCCCTCTTCATACTTTCCAACCTTCTTAATTCTGGGAAAAAGGACAGCAGATGCTCTTTGTCTAAAGCAAGATCTATCCATTCTCTTGACTCTTTTTAACCTACTCTTGTTCAGTTATTTGCTTATCTGTTGTAAAATAGTTGTGTTTTCAGGAGGCTTCAGGCTTTCTGAGAGGTTATCTAGAAATTGTGATTATCCTTGAAATAAATCCTCAAATGGGTAAGCATCACTGTGTCTTCTACACTATAAGTAATTTGAGGTTTAAATAAAAACCATTTAGTTAAAAAATCGTCTAGAAACAGATATTCTCACACATGTTCTGGCCATGGTGCACTTGTGTCTCAGGTCAGTCAACTGCCCAGGATACTTTTCATCAAAATCTATATGATAAATAGGCAGATATGCTTCATGCTTTTTATCACTTCATCATACTGTGCTGCACCAGAGCAGATGATGTGGAGTTCCAAATAATTTTAGGGAGTTTTGGTTTGCTTTGGAAAAGAGAGGGTACTTATTTTCTTTTCTAGATATCTCCCTTTTTTACCTTCATCTTAGGTTACTGAAGAGTAAATGAATACACCCCTTTGCCATGTTCCATGATACCTTTAAATATCATGGATATTTAAAAAATGTTCATCAGAGAACTGAGCAACTGTTTTGTTGTTGTTCTTGTTTTGTTTTGGTGTGGTACCTTTAAGCTATTGCTGGAAAGTGCTCAAAACATTGATAGCTTTCTTCAGACAGAGAGAAGGAAAAGGATTGCTAGAGAAGCATTTTGTTGGAGATCTTCAGTTAGAATTGTAACCAAATACTTCAAATACCTCCATTATTTATAGCGATAAAGATCTTCAGTAAAGCTATTTAACTAGATTAAATTGATGCCAAAATAATCTCCCTGTTATCTCAGACACCACAAAAAAAGAGTCACCAGGAACAGGAATGTGGTTTAACTAGGTCACCCCTTTATTACACTTAAGAATTATCTGATAATAGAGGCTGTGGACTTCACTCATACTTCTTTAATCCCTTTGGGGAGAACCACTGTCTGCCCCCAGAGGTTTCTCCTGTGCACCCAGCACAAAGGTTTGCTCTGACTTTGCTGGGCAGGGGCAGTGGCAGATTCCCCCTGTGTGATTCAGTTTGTCTGTTCCCTTGAGAGATGCTCTCTCTGATTCTCAAGAGCCTCAGTGAATGTTCGGCTGCAGCGTTGCTTGTTTTCTTCTGCTCTTATTTGTCCCATCCTCGATTTCCACAGCTGTTAAACTGCTGAAAGAGAATTCAAAAAAGCCCAACTTCTCTAGCCTAATGTGATCATCAAAGGAGAAATGTTTATAAATATTAGAAGATGAATCACTAGATGATGCTAAACATTAACATAAAGCCCTAAATTCATCCCTGTTCTACATCGTAAGAGGAATTTTTGCTTTGAGAGGCAAAATAACATGTTGGTCCCTGATAAAAAAATCTGTATTCCTCTCATATATATCCACATTTTCTGGCCTTTGTGAATGAATACATTGCAAACCCCTATTTAAGACGTTGATTTTAAAATAATTTGTCGTAATTTTTCACACATAAAAAGAGGCATCTTAGAGAAATGAAATATTCTGCCTTTGTCAGGAAATCGGAATATTTATGATTTATTTTAATAAAGCTACAGATAGGCATATCATATTTTAAAAATGAATATATTTATATGAATGAGTTGAGCCATCTTTTTATGCGTTGTGACTGTGTGAGTTTAAGTAAAAGTTCTGTTATTTTTAAGCTGGAAGAAAATAATTGCTTTTATGTCAAAACCTAGATAACCTTGAAAAATTATTCATATCACAGTGCATTCAGCTGTAAAATTAGTAGTAATAATTCTGACCTCTGTGTTGCAAACACATTTTCTCACAAGAAACAAACATTTAATTGTAATGATTTAAATACAATTTAGCAGCTGCAATCTGTCAGTTAAATATTTATTGTTTACTGCTTAAATAATTGGGAAGCACAGTAATACATTCCCAGCAAAACAAAACCACTGCAACTGCTTTGATTCATACCAAAAGCTATATTTTGAGAGCTGTAGTAGGCTTTAAAAAAACCTTTCAGTAACACAGTATTAAACAAAATTACTATGTGGGCTTGGCTGAGTGATTACATAATGTACATAATCACCCTGGCCAAGATTCCTTTGGAGAATTCTGAGAAGGTATTTTTAGATAAATTTGTACAGTGATGCAATCCTTCATGAAATAATTAGCTAAAAAGTTAATTTTTAGAACATCTCAAGAGATTTTGGCAAGAGCAGAAGACACTGCTATGTTCCTGATTCATCCTGAACTTGGATACTGAGAGAAAATGTCCCAGTTGTCTCTTTTCACTTCTAGGATATAGTGCCAAAAATGTAAGTGCAGTTGGCCAAAATGCAAGGTCTTCTAACTCCTTGAGAGCATTTTATTTTTCTTCTCAAAACATGAAATTAGAAACCTTTCCAGTGCTTTCAGGGCTGCAGGTGTACAGAATACTCTGGCCAAAGGCAAAGCTGGTGTTTGGCAGAGTTTTTTAGTTCACTGCTCTATATTTCATCACGTCAACATATTGCTAATGCAACAAAAAGGTGAGAAACCATCAAGGAATTTAAAAAATGTGTGTAATCACAGTTTCTCAGCAAACTAACAACTAGCAATATTTTCTCCTGCGTGCAATACACAGAATTATTTCTTACTAATTACCTTGTAAATATTTGAAAAATCTCTCAGCAGCAAATGAGTAAAGTGGAATTGTAGGCATCATGTTGCATTGCATATACTGTTCTAGTTAAATACTTCAGAAACCTTGTTACTCTGATATCATTGTGGTGACATCAAGCATTCAACAACAACAAAATACCCCAAATTCTATTTTCCCTGATTAATTCAGCTCTATTGCATTGCGTATTTTGTGATATTGAAAGGGTTTATTTGACTGTATGAGGAAAAGAATATTACTAGAAGTTGTTGTGATTGTGACTATTCTGGCAGCCCAAAACATCTTTCTGCAGCACTGTGAATTAGTTAATTGCATTTAAGCTCCCTGTGTGTGTAACAAGCGTGGGAGCAGAAAAGTCATGCACTGGTTTCGTACAGTGTCATTGCAGACATTGTTATCTGCAGCACTTGTGAGCAGCAGCAGCTCTAGGGCTGGTTCCTAATCACTGTTGCTTCAGTTTCTGATGCTATACTAATTTAATCTTTCTGATTGCCTTGAGTTTCACAGGTGTGAGTATTATAGGACCACATAATTTTATTGTTGTTTTTGGTATTGTATTGCTGCTGTTGTTTATGCAGATCTGCTTCACACCGATTTTTATTGTGCAGTTGAACTTTGCGGTATCACTGCACAGTGAGTAGAATCCATGTTTAGAAGCCATTCACATGAGTACTGTAGAAATAATTGACCACTCTGCTTCTTTTTTGCCTCTTGGGTTTATTCTGTTTACTATTATTTAAAACATTTGTCTTGTTCAAGCTTTAAGCACCTAATTTTGAACAAAAGAGAAGTTTGAGACCCTTAAGTTGGTTTTATTCTTCTTGCACTTATGGTACACAGGTTCTTTGTTCATTTTGGACAGGTAAGAATAAATGTCCTAATAATTTCCTAATCAATCTGGTTATTTTTTCCTTAAAAGTTCTCAGAAAATGTAGTAAAATGGCTTTTACTCTTTGATTTTAAATGTGACTGTTCAGAGCCCATTTATGTCAATACAAGTCATTCAGTGGCCTTACTATCTTAAAAATCTTTTTAGTTTCTACTTTTCCAATAATTAGAAATATCCTAAAGTAATATTTCTGCATGTCTTAACATTGGGGTTTATTCTCCTAATTTTTAACCTGATTTTTGAACCTGTGTTTTTGAACATGGGTCATGACAGTCATTGCAACTGAATTGCATCTCAGTTTTGCCCAGTGCAGGTTCCTGGGGTGGGGGGGTGGAAGTGCAGAGTGCCACTTTTCCCTGCAGCTTAACACAGGAGGGGCACAAAGTAGGCAAGGCATTGTGTGAGTGGGGCTAAAAGCCTTTGCCTGAACAACTTAGTTGATTCAAAAGACATTCTGTGTTGGAAAAATGCTTAAAATGTTGGCAGTGCTCTCATAACACTTTTCACATATTCTCAGCAAGATTTGACAATTTATATTGTAAAATTTGATGGACTTGGGTCATAGCTGGATATGGCATCGCTTTTTCCTCCTTATGTTCTCAGGAATCCAAAGTCTTTTGCATGGTATTTTTACACAAACGTTTTCCAAAGAGAGGGGCTTTTTTGCCTTTAGCAGTCAGCCCCTGAAAGCAGCACAAGCTTGGTACAAGAGCCCTTTCCTACTTTAAAATCTGTTTCTGTTTGTTCTCTGTTCAGACTTTTTTGATTCTTGAAGGATCTGTGTCACAACTTAAACCTGGCCATGGCTCAGGGCAGCCTTTTTTCACTGGTGATAATCTGGTCTTGAACTTATCCTAGAACTTCATTCAGACAAATGGTTTAACTTCACTGAGACTGAAAACCTTAAATGGAAAAAGTAGGTAATGCAGATATAAAATAATATATATATTAAGACTGGAACTTTTGTAATTCTGGATCTGGCTTGCTTGGTAGGTGAAAATGGTTATTAAGTACCTCAAATAAGAATAGTGAATATCTCCATTATAACAATCTGAACTCCCAAGCCAAAAGGGTTTTTCTCCATGTGACATGTTTTAAACAAATCCTTATGTTCTACTGCAATGTACCCCATGATAATAAG